TAAAATATGTATTGGTTAAGATGGGCAATTCAAAATAGCTTCTGCAGTGATATAAACAGCAAGAAAGAATAGTTTTTTATTCTTTATTCTTCACAGCATTCTTTGTTCTTTATTCTTTCAGTACAGTATTTTTTCTTATTTTGATATACAATGATATCTTCCTTACATTTATTTGGATGTGGGACCCCCTTGCACTGGGGAAAGTGCTAAGTATATCATTTTACTACATAAATTTGCAAGAAACCAACAGGTAGCTTTGAATACCAGTTGCATTAGTTAAAATAAATAAAACTAGTTAAAGACTTTCATTCATAAGAAGATTTCACTCTGTTCAAGTATTCAAAATATATGTCAAAAATAGAATTCTGTGATTCTACAGTACACTGTTTCCCAGAGAAATTAAAAGGGAAAAAGAGAACAAAATTAACTTTGCTATATAATATCTGTTCTGGAATCTATTAAATATATTCTTTATAATGATATGTATATATATAATTGATAAGGTATCACTGTGTATAAAGCACTAAGTGATCAAATTATCACAAACTTTAAGGCGCCAAATACATGACTCAACTTACATAATGTCCTTTACTAAATCAATTAAATATTTTACAGTATCATATTTGTTTTTATCTACATTCTATATTTCTATATACAATCAGATCTTAAATAGATAAGACAATTAGTGAAATATCCCCATGACTTTAATGTCTCGTAAAAGTCACTCTCTCTCTCACTCTCCCTTTCTCTTGCTCTTTCTTTACATCTGCTGGATCTGGAGCAGGAGAGCCTTGGCAAGTCTCGATTCATATGTGACAGTGTTTTTGCCTGGGTGCATGGCCATCTCCTCCAGTGGCTGCTCGATCAGCGTCTTCACATTCCGCCCATAGACTGCCAAGATTGATAGTGCATTAGAATTTAGGTTCTAGATTTGGGAGTATAAGTGTTAGTGTTAGACAAATGAAGACAAACAGATCTTCTGAAACTCTACTCTAAAGCAAAACCAACCTTCACAATGTTCCAAGAACTGTATGCACTCCTGGATGACTGAATCCTTCACAGTTATCATGTGCTTTGCCAAATTCTCAATAAGGGACAGGAAACACCTTTTAGCATAATACCTGAAAGGAAACAAGAAAAAATTAATACCTTGACATTTGTTATATTTCAATACATATTTGCATGTAATGGAAATCTCTGAATATTAAAAAAAAAAAAAAAAAAAAAAAAAAAAAAAAAAAAAAAAAAAAAAAAAAAAAACTCAACTGTGTTAGACTAGAAATGTGACTGAGCATTAAAAAACAAAGGGTACAAACTGGACAATCAACTTAAACCATAGAGAGTGCAGAATAATACAAATCACAAAATATGAATATATAACAAATCTGGGTATTGCTAAATAAACCGTTCTTTCCCCATGGGATTTTCAAGTGCTAAAAGAAAATCCTTTCACTGATGACAGAGATAGTAGCTACAGCTCATGTGCCTCACTACTGAACTTACCAGTGTCAGTCCCAAGTTTCTTATTACCAGACTCTTGATAACCCTGCCAAACTCATAGCACAGTCCAAAGAAACTTATAGTTTCTTATATATAGTTTTCTCTTGGAGATCAGTTTCAATTGTAACCTCTAGTTATTCTGTTGCCAAAGGATATATTTGCTCTTTTTAGTGCACTAGTAGGGGCTTTACCAAAACAAATACACACAACGTGTTAAGAATAAGAAATGGAATAAAGGTTTTTTGGAGTACTAATCATAAAAAATTCAGCTAATGCCAGATACCTTGGTTAAAAAATTGATTATTGTATAGCACCCATAAATTTATGAAGAGATAGATCTCATTCCATCATTTCAATCATATTTTTATCAGAGAAGAATATCATCATCATTTCATTCAGATGGCTTACTAAAACTATAAGATAATATATCACAGACAATTAAGCAACTTTAACAACTATAAACAAATACAACTTGCAAAAACTCCTGACAGACTACATAATATTATAAATCAAGCTATTTTCTCACCCTATCACAAGGTTAACAATGCACAAGTGGTAGATTTTCTTGTCAGGGTCTTCATATGCCAGCTGCTCTTCCTCCTTCTCAATCTTGCGCATCAGCTCCTCAGCCTCCTCATTTTGGCTTGTCATGATGTATGACACACAGAGGTTGGCTAGTACTATGGCACTCACATTCAGGATCTGTTTTTGGTGTTTTAGGAAGCAGGTATTTCATTATATGATAATTTTAGATTGTATTACTGTTGTATTATATGGTTACAGAAATATATGCTTTTGTTAAGACATATACTCACACATATGTATACGCCCGCCTCCCCTCCTACACACACACACACACTCAGATACATACAATCAGACAAAAATGAACATACACACTTATACTCGAGCATTAGAACTTTAATTATTGGTATTCTAATTCCAACCTTGAGGCACAGACAACAGACTTACCATGCTACAAAACTTATTACAATCATCCTTACAGCTAGAATTATCCTAATTATACAAATTCATATCATGATTCATCCATTCAACATTTCTTATTCACTTATCTACTACTTACATTATCGTAGTTCTTCTTGACAATCGGCTCATAGAACCCAGTGGCTTCCTTGAACTTGTTTTCCTGCATGAAGAGCACATGTGCAACATTCAGTTTCCACACATCAGACTCGTTGCAGAACTCTACTGACTTGCGGAAGATCTTCTCTACCTGTGAGTAGTTCTCAAGATCCCAATAGATCTTTGCTTGTGCCATGAGCACAGGAATGTATCTGGGAATGGGGAATATTAGCTATCTTTTTTGTAAGGTTATGGTATGTGTTTGTATGTAGAAAGTAGTTTATTCTGTTATTTATCTGATATATATGAAATTAAAGAATGCTATAAATTTTTCATCAACAGTCCACAGTTTTCTTACTTTACATTATGATTAATAAAAAGAATGCTATAATTTTTTCATCAACAGTCCACAGTTTTCTTACTTTACATTATGATTAATAAAAAGAAGAAGGAATCTAACCTTTCAAGGACTTCTTCATACTCATTCACTGCATTTTTAACCTGGTCGTCATCATGGTTCTGGCGAGCCTCCTGCACAACCTTGGTCAGTTTCCGTAGTAATTCAATGTGTCGTGAGCCAAGTTCATCAAATTTGCGGTACGCCTCTGAAGGTGACGTTTGTTGTGTGATCAGGGCATCAAGGAAGTCAAAGAGGTGCTGGAAGTTAAAGTTCATATTTTAATATGATGAAATAGGAATACTGTGTAGATTGGAAGAGAAAAGAATAATGAAAAAGGGACATTATTAGTGTGAAATTGATGTAAGAGACTAATCCTTTTCTCCTTATCAAAGAACAAAAATTACTCATCAAATTACTCATTTACCCACTCATTTTCCCTTTACAGCAATCAGAATACCTTCAATCACCACCCCTAGCCCCCTACCCCTCCAGCTACTCACCGGTGTAAGGTACTTGTAGGTGAGGTGTGCGTTCTCTGCCAGGACATCCGCTGCCAAGTGGTAATATTCATACTTGCAGTAGAGGAGCAGGAGGTTGCCAAAGGTCTCTGGAGGGAAAGGGTTCTGACCCAGGAGGAACTGCATCTTCTCAAACCCGTCTGTGGGCTTCGTGTCCATATTCATGAGAGCCTGAGATTGAGGAGATAATGAGATATTAACATAGGGGTACCGTATTTTTCTACATGTAGACCAAGACAGTATTATTTTGTGAAGCATTCACATTATATACTAATATACATATATATATATATATATATATATATATATATATATATATATATATTATATATATATATATATATATATTATAAACACACATATACAGACAGACAGACATTAATTCATTGATTCATCCACCCACCCGCCCACCCACCCATCCATCCATCCATGCATCCATCTATCTATCCATCCATATGTCCATCTGTTCATCGATACATCCATCCATGCACCCATCCACCCACCCATCCATCGATCCATGCACCCATCCACCACCATCCATGCATCTATCCATCTATCCACCCATCCATCTATCTATTCATCCATCTATCCACCCACCCACCCAACCATCCATCCATCCATCCATCCATCCATCCATCCATCCATCCATCCATCCATCCACCCACCCAGTCATCCATCCACCCAAAACCCAAAACATTCAGGATTGCAATTACAGATGCCAACCTCTAACAACCTCAGTACTCTTTCTCCTTTCCACAAATATCAAAGAACAGACCACATATAAACTGACAATAACTATGAATACAAAACCCAATGCACCTGATTATGGAGTGTGACAGCATCCAGTGACCATGCCTCTGTTCCTTGGGTCTTTCTCACGGCACTATTATAAAATATTGGTATAAACGTAAGTATAGCTGATATAGATGGTATGTAACATGATGTATAAAGATACAGAATGAATATAATCAAGGTGAAAAGAAGTGAACAGAACTGATATAATAAGAGTGGTATAAAAAAGGTAAGGCAGATATTGCCATGTTGAGCAAGTGAAGCTGACACTAAATTTTACTGTAATGATAAAATAGAAATGGACACAAGTGCTATTATGTAATTGTAGCTTTGCTGAAAATAATAAGCATAATCTTCCTTCTGTTTATTTTTCAGAACTTCATCCTTCACTTATTCGTGTTGCTTGATGTCCTATCACATCCGAGCAAAAATTTCACTGATATAACATTATCATACCATAAGCAGGGTCCCTGCACCTGGGATGATACTTAGAAGCCTAGCCAGACAACAGTCCTGGTGTAGAGCAGCACATATAATCACACCCTGACCTTATTCAATATTTTTCTAAATTCTAACCAAAATTAATAGCATTTAGCATAAATTAAAGAGGGTATGAATACTCTTAAATTATCTTCTGTTTGTCTAATTTTCTTTCCATTTACTGCTTCAATACAAGGTCCTCAAAAAAGGATCTTAGGACTCACACTAGATTCAAATGGAGTTGGTGGACCAGCATCTCAAAAATAGAAAACAGAACTGAAGAAAATATTATTGGATATTCTAGCTTAGGTGGTAAGCCACCCATGGCTGATCTGTCACAAAGGGCAATGACAGGTTCAAAAAATAGGACATTGGCTTACACTGACAGGGACATCAACATATGCAAAGAGCATTTAAGCTGATATCAAGACTGTATTTCATGAAATAAGTATACAGTATTTTTTCTCTACTTATCAATGAGAAAAGCACAGAGTTACTCACAGTTTTTGAGTTGGTATTCAATGGCAGCTTTAAGATTAAAAGCCTCAATCAGCGCAGTTTCATGCAGAGTTAAAGTGTTACCAACACTGCGCACCTCAATGCCCTCTGTTGTCATGCCAACACTGAGCTCTGGGTGTTCACGGATCCCTCGCTCAATGATGTCAGCTTTGGTGGGGAAAATAAGGAAAATTTGTCCATGATTATTTGTTTAAAGTAATTCCTTCTTGAATAAGCAACAACTGTTTTATTGAGATACATAAGAAAAATCTGCTAATATCACAGTAGAACAATTGTATTCCTTGGTAACTGTGTTATCAAGGCTCTATTAAAGTCATAATACCCCTTCTAAACAAAAGTACACAAGACTCACCAATGTGCTTGAGTGCGGGAGCGTACTGCTTGAGCCGATAGTGGCACAAGGCAATGTTATAGGAGAGATGTGGCTGGTTGCCTGCCACTTGCAAGGCACTTGTGAACTTCTGGCAGGCCTCCTCAAACCGGCCTTCCTGTGTATCCAGTAATGACGAGTCAGTAATGCTATTTGATTAGATCTTTTTAATCGATGGGGTTTGACATTATCTTAGAGGCATACTGCTGTAGGTTTCCATAAAGTGAGCCTTAGGTCTGTGGAAAATGTGTTTCTGATGTATCATGTGGTGTGCATTATTCCTGGGGTTACCTGACTGTATCCATCAGACTAACTCACCTGAGATTAAGAAGAAAATATATAATCTTGTTAATAATAATAATAATAATAATAACAAAAATAGTAGCTAGAGTAATGATGATAACAACAATGATAATATTGTAACAATAGTAATGAATGTACTAAATACTTTGCTCTGAATGAGAATAAGTCCCACTCACCTGTGTTCCATTCACAAAAAATAGATAAATAATAACAAAAATCTGATGACCTACCTTATAGAGGAGACATCCATGGTTGACCTCAGTGTCTGGGTCATCTGCTGGGCACTGGTCAACCAGGCTCTTGGCTCCAGGCAGGTCCTCCTCCCCGTATTTGATGGCAGCCTGGAGCTTGGTGATGCGGCCTGCATAATCGGCTCCTTCGATCTGATGCGTCACTTTCATGGACTCCTCATATAAACAGGCCTTAGGGGTAGAGGATGGAAAATGGATTAGGAAAAGCTGCATAGTGTTCTGTTTTCAGTTTGCTTTTACTGCCGAATGACAGAGGGGGTGAGGGAGGGAAAGGGGTGAGGGGAGGGAAAGGGGTGAGGGGAGGGAAAGGGTGAGGGAGGGAAAGGGGTGAGGGAGAGAAAGGGGTGAGGGAAGGAAAGGGGTGAGGGGAAAAGGGGGGAGAGAGAGAGAGAGAAAGTGAGAGAGAGAGAGAGAGTGAGAGAGAGAGAGAGAGAAAGAGAGAGGAGAGAGTGAAAAGAGAGAGAGAAGAGTGAGAGAGAGAGTGAGAGAGAGAGAGAGGGAGAAGAGAGAGATAGAGAGAGATAGAGAGAGAGAGAGAGAGAGAGAGAGAGAGAGAGAGAGAGAGAGAGAGAGAGAGAGAGAGAGAGAGAGAGAGGAGAGAGAGAGAGAGGAGAGAGAGAGAGAGAGAGAGTGAGAGTGAGTGAGTGAGTGAGTGAGTGAGTGAGTGAGAGAGAGAGAGAGAGAGAGAGAGAGAGAGAGAGAAGAGAGAGAGAGAGAGAGAGAGAGAGAGAGAGAGAGAGAGAGAGAGAGAGAGAGAGAGAGAGAGAGAGAGAGAGAGAGAGGAGAGAGAAGGAGAGAGAGAGAGAGAGAGAGAGAGAGAGAGAGAGAGAGAGAGAGAGAGAGAGAGAGAGAGAGTGAGGAGTGAGTGAGTGAGGAGGAGAGAGAGAGAGAGAGAGAGAGAGAGAGAGAAGAGAGAGAGAGAGAGAGAGAGAGAGAGAGAGAGAGTGAGTGAGTGAGTGAGAAGAGAGAGAGGAGAGAGAGAGAGAGAGAGAGAGAGAGAGAGAGAGAGAGAGAGAGAGAGAGAGAGAGAGAGAGAGAGAGAGAGAGTGTGGGAGTAGGAAAAAGCAAGAGATAAAAAAAAAACAATCAAAATATGATTCAAATACAATCAGAACATCAAATGAATCACAACCCCCATCTCACCTGGTACAAAGACTGCGCATAGTACAGCCTATAGTCCTCAATCTCGGGGAACAGCATGGTCAAGTGTTCATAGCAATTTGCAGCATTCACAAAGTCTTGCATGTAAAAGTAGCAGTATGCCAGCAGGGAAAGAGCTGCCCTGGA